TTTGAGTCACCCACGATCCCGCAATCAACCTCAACAAACTCACCGGTTCACCAACTCTAGGTGGAGTTGCTTCTTGGTGTGTCTTTGGAGCCCTAGCTGGGATGAATAGACATTTTTGTTCTAGTCTATGTTACAGGGCAAGAATAAATGTAATTTTTTCCCTCTCCTCATGGAAAGTAGTCAGCCACACTGGGAACGCACGGTTGTGCTCTGTAGCAATATGTCCGTCGGCTGTGTCTGAGTGGCATGTGCCCACGGGACAGTCCTGTTCCTGTGGGCCACGGCCACTGGGGTCGTGGGAAAAGCCTGGACTCCTCTGCCAAGGCTGTCACTGGCATTGCTTTGGCAGCGACCTCCCAGAAACCCCTGTGACACACTGTGGGGCCTGACCTCTGCCACTCTGTGGGCACAGGCCCGGGTTCAGCGCAGCCCGGCGTGCTGGCTGGACTTAGAGTCACCCTAACGGTTTTCTCTTAGCAAAGACGTCTCTGGGTCGTCCTCCACGCCCACCCCCACCCCATACGCACAGAACCTGACGGCTCCAGATTTCCCATCAGCCTTGGGGAAACTTCAGTCGGGTTGCTGTAGTGGGAACAGCTGTCCCTGTGTGGCTCCAGGGTCTCAGAGAGGGAAGTCTCACTCTTTCCCTTGCCTCCTTGGAAGGAGTAGACCTACCTTGTGCTCCCATGACTGATCTTGTACCTTCTGGTTCAGGCAAAGTCAGGAATCTGGCCCCCATTGTTCTGAAAGCCACTGTGTCCGGCCCTCTTCTGGCTGTTCCTGGCTGCAGGTGGGCTTTGGAGCATTGACTTCTCCATCAAGCCTGGCCTGGGGGACCCTTCTCATTCTGTAGAAGCCTGGCCTGGGGCGGGGGGCCCTTCTCATTCTCTGAATTCCCAGGTCTGCAGCGGAAGTTGGGCTATCCCCTTCCTCGGTGTACTTATTTGTGAAACGGGGACAAGTGTATCTGCTCGCTTTTGGGACCACGGCAAGAACTGGGCAGAGGTCCCTGTGGAGTGCCGGGAACCCACCCAGGCTATCACATACAAAGTGAGGGGCCGGCTGCTCCAGGCCTCCGTGCGTGCAGCTCGGCTGGAAGCGTGTGTATTAGCGGAGCTACCCGGGGGTTACTAGAAAGAAATGGGGAGATGGCTCAGTGGTTGTCAGCACAGGGTGCTGCCCTTGCAGAAGACCCAAGTCCTGCTCCCAGTACCCAGCTCACCCCCTGTAAGTCCCTCTCCAGGGGGATCTGGCGCCCTCTTCTGGCTTCCATGAACACTGCACTCGTATTGCACCTTTCCCCAAATATTAATTAAAAATAAATCTTTTCCAAAACCAGTTACTAAGAAGCCAGGCCTAGCTGCACAACCCTCACCCCTCTGGTCCCCCCAATGCCCAGTGTGGTTGGTTCTCCGTCCTGCAGGGCAAACTCCCCTAACCTAGGGCGCCACCCAGGACTCCACAAGCGTGCCTGCTACCCCTCTCTTCTGTCCTCCCAGCTCTGGCATGGCACCGGGTGGGTATCCGCGCAGCCGACAAGAGAATCTAGCACACGCCAACAACCGATTGAGAACTATTTTATTTGAAAACATTTCCTTCCATAGTCCAAAGAAAACAAAGCGAAGACAGTCTGTGGTTCACAGGTGTCAGACGCGTAATCATTGCTTGTGGTTACGTGACAACGTTAACACGTGTGTGCTTATCCCACACTCCAAACTACGGACTCGGTACAACCTTTCCAACAGAGAAAGTGTCCGTCACAACAGAACATAAATTGAAGATTATCCTTTACCCAAAAAAAAAAAAAAAAAAGACAACTAGGTAAGAAAACAATGGAGGGACAGTGTCACGCCCACTCTGAAGTGACGCAGACTGCAAACTACATTTGCCTTTGCTTTGCCAGTGACAAACTATATAAAAGCACCAGCCGGCCCTACGGAAACACAAAGCACCCCTGCCCGGGGCTCTTCAGAGTGGACCCTCTGTGGCATTTCACAGGCTTCCTGTAGGAATGGGTGAACACGGCCGTGTCAAGCTGGCAGTAGCTATGTTACTTCCTGTTGTGTTCCCAAAGTAGCAAAAGAAAGTGACAAGTGACCATAACACACAGAGCATCGGGCGGGCGGGAAGCCGCTGGGTGATCACAGGGCAAATCCAACCGGTCAGTGGACAAAGTGCCTGAGGGAGCGTTGCTGAGTCCTTCCACGGGAATGTTGTAAAGGCGCAGGCCTAAACGCACCCTTACCCGGCTGCCTCCCTTCCCCTTCATTAAGCCATCGGTGGGACTGCAGCGCCGAGTGAATTCTAACAAAAACAGGTTCCAAGTCATTTTTGTGTTTTCACAAACTGTGAAGTGCAAGGATTATAAAAAGTAGTTAACTTAAAAAAAAGCATATAGTAAAAACAAACAAACAAACACAAAACAAGCATGAGACATGATGTTCAGATTTACGGGCAAACCAGCTCCCTGGCGTTATTAGTCAATCACAAGGCAGTGTGGAAAGATTGGACCAAGATGCAAGCCAACCAGACTGAGCCCCATGTGCCCGACTAAAGCGGGCATCTTTGATGACATCCCGGCAGAAACGAGAGAGCATGTCCCTGTCTTGCACCAACATTCCAGTGTTTCTGGTCACCAGGAAATAGCGCTGACACAGCTCACTGCTTCCAGAGATCATGGCTCCCTCATGCCCACAAGGGTCGTCAGACTCTGGTAGGCCGGCAGGGATGACCGAGTAGCACTGACTGACGGGTCTTCTGAGAGGAAACCGTGGCAGAGAGGGAAGGGCACACGCCTCACATTCCCCACCGCTGGTCAAAGAACAAGCGACAGCCTTCAGGAGACCCTTGTGTCAGCAGTGCTAAACCACGCTCACTAAACACCATTTGACGAGGACGTCAGAGCCCCTCCCATTTACCTCTGTCCAAACGGGCTCGAATTTTACCTGGAAATCTGAAGACCATACCCCTAATGCTCTATAAACAACATTAGTACAAGGACACGTGTACCTCTATATCGAGGTACGGTACCCTCTCCCTCGTACTCCGGTAACAGAACTGCGGTACCCCCGCCCTCCCCAGCTTGAATGAAAACCTAAGGCATTTGGAACTGCTCGGGTTCTTGGCTTTCAGAAACGAAACAAAATAGAAAGCAGCAAGGTCAAAGTCTCTTTGGTTTCGTGCTTAATCGTAAGTCTTTTGTTTCTTGCGGGCTCCTCCAGCCTTCTGTGATGATTCTTTTGGAGTTACAATTTAGCATAGACTGCAGGAGTTAGGATTCCCACACAGTCATCTCAGAACCTTTCCAGGGTGCCGAAGTGAGAAACCTCTTGAAGTAGGAGCGCTGAGGCCAGGGAAGAAGGCTCCTTCCCGCCAGGCCACGCTTACATCGACATCAGCCTGTAATACACATTGTGCGTCCTTCCAGACACTTCCCACCACACAGAGGGGATCAGAACCCCTCAGAAGCATCTGGGGGTGGGTAAGGCCATAGAATGGGAAGAAAATAAAAAAGACAGTACCACACCAGGAGCTGCCTGAAGCGGGGAGGGGTTTCAGAGACACTGTCATCCTGCCTGAAGTCTCCAACTGGTACCAGCAGAAGGAAACGCTAAACTAGAAGTGCTGTCAAAATGCCCACACAGGTGAGGGGCACAGACAGACACACGCCGCAGAGCCATCCACACAGGTAAGGGACTCGGCAGACAGACGTCACAGAGCCATCCATCCAGTCCTGCGACATGCCTCCTTCCCCAAGCACAGCTGGCCGCAAGAATAACAAAGTTCTGTTGGGAGTCCATGCATCTAAACCCTCATTCATACCCACAGACTGTACGAGGGCAGCATGTCAAGCCCTGTTGCTAAGAGCCTTGTGGATGGCGGTGGGACAACTCCATTGGTCCAAGAATGTAGCTGCTGGCACTGGGAAATACATCCGAGGATGGCCCTCGGGAAGAGGGCTGGCGGACACAGTGATGCACTTTCAATCTCCCCCATCTTTGTCCAACGCTAATTCCACACCCGTCTCCTCCGAACATGGGGGTTAGGCCATATAAAGTGATAAAGTGTAGGGCCACCTCGGCAAACACAAATTAGGTTTTTAAAGTGCAATAATGAAATCATAGACTCCCCAAATTTCAATTCTACGGTGAAATATAAATTAAATCTATTAGAGAAGTACCATTTTTTTGGTGAAGATTTCAGTTCAGGTTTTTTGGGTTGTTTTTTTAGAGAACCCAGCAATAAAAAAAGTTTTAAAAAATAATAAAGAAAGGGAGGAATGCATGCTTGCAAGAGGCCTACAATCCCAGCACTGAGGGTTGCGAGTTTGGGGCTATCCTGGGCTGTAAGGCAATGACCTGAAAGCTTCCAACAGCATTATAAGCAGGTTACTGATTGGACAGCTACTGGTAGCTTTGGTGACAAGACACTGAGATCTGTCACTACGGCACAAAAAAACACTAACAGATTGTGTTTTTGAGACAGGGTTTCTTTACGTAGTCTTAGCTGTCCTGGCACTCCCTCTGTAGAGCAGGCTGACCTTGAACACAGAACTTTTAAATAGTTGTGCAAGTAAGATTCTATAACTAGGCTCTCTGGATATATTAGAGGCATGGCTTAAAGAAACCCTGATGTGACAGCCGGGCGTTGGTGGCGCACGCCTTTAATCCCAGCACTCGGGAGGCAGAGGCAGGAGGATCTCTGTGAGTTCGAGGCCAGCCTGGTCTACAGAGCAAGTTCCAGGACAGCCTCCAAAGCCACAGAGAAACCCTGTCTCGAAAAACCAAAAAAAAAAAAGAAACAAGAAACCCTGATGTGACTCCTTCACGACACTGAAGACCTACGGGGGTCAACTCCCCCCCACCCCCATCCCCCACTCCATCCCCGCCCACGACCAGCCCCTGGGAGAGCAGCTGTTCCAGAAATGACTCTACCTGAAGATTTTGCTTTTCTATGGAGCTTTCTTAACTGTCACTGAAAGGGCACTGCCCCCTGCCCACTGCTGGGACAGAGATGGAGTCTGGCTCAGTTAGCCAACTCCACTACAAGACAGCAGCTGGCTATAGCAAATGCTCTTCAATCAAATTTCCTGTAAGTGAGGGCCTTGTTGCTGTTGCTGTAAGTGCTGGAGATTAAACCCGGGGGAGCCTCTCGTGCATGCTAAGTGGACCCTTGAGGTTTTTAAGAAACACGGACCCATGATTGGCAGGTTCCTTTGTTCCCTGTGAACTGACTTGGTGAAGTCTCTAGAGCTGTTCCCTGCCGTCGGCATGAGAGCCCAGAGGCCAGCACCTCGCCTCGGTTCAGACACGCCAGCAGAGGTCACTCCACGTCTGTCAAGCCCCTGCTTCCCAGCATAAATGAGTGACAGCCACCCTTGCCTTTAAAAGGCGGAACCAAAGCAGGACTGCATATCTGAGACTAAGTTAGGAGGAACCCTCATCTAAATGTGCAAAAGTTGTCTTGTTTTGAATTTTAAATCTTGAAACAAGATCTAAGTCATACATTCAACAAAAACGACTCATAAAGGCATGTTTTCCTTATGCGGTACTCCCTCATTTTTAACACTCAACTTATAAAACGTTAATAGCAATGTTCTAAAAACAAGGACCTCACAAGGCAGGGTCTGTGACCTGGGTAGCCGCGCATTTGCCGCACACAACGCCACAGGCTGACAGGTCTACTCACACAGCCTCTTCAGCTACAGAAAGACTGGAGACTCCCTGAGACTGCGCCTACCCAAGTTTTTGGATAGACCTGCTGCTTGTGTGAATTCTCTGTCTGGTTCTACCTTAGCAAGAACGGCGGCCGAAGCTCGTGGCCCTGAGGACAACTACGACGGTAGCCAACACAACATCAGGACCTTACTTAAAACATGACGAGTTTTTTTTCCCCTAAGGTAACTCAATTGTGCACAAGCTTTATAAATGGCAACGTGATTTCTAAATGTCAAAAAGGTTGGAAACACCTGCCAGGGTCCCTGAAAACAAGTATACAATAAAACGCCTAGCCAAAAAAACCAGGTGATATAAGAGGCCGGAGGGGTGAGGAGGTAGTTCCTAATTCTTGTCCAAAAAACTAAAAGAAAAAGGGAAATCTACTACTAATGACATCTCGGGGGACCTAAAGAAATAGAATTTTAAAGTCATCTTTACGGGACTAGCGTGAGGCCCTAGATTCCACCCTCAGTGGGGAAAACACAGAACAAAGCTATTACTACTATTGTGTCAGCTGAGCTTGGCCCTTACGGAGCAGACCCCAAAAGTCTACTTTTTAATGCTGCGTTTTAGTTGTCAGCCCAAGACTGTTAGCTTTGGATGAATTATTTACGACATTTGCTCCCATAACGTAAAAAACAACCGAAGGAATAATGGTCTCTTTCCCCCAGGTTTTCAAGTAGTTAGTTCAAGAAAGCTTACTTACAGCCGAGCCTCCTACAATACGTGACCTACTTTTAGGTTACTCTGTCCCTTCAGGATTCAGAATTTCAAAGGGTTGCCTTTTTCTCCCCACCCCCCCTTGAAACAGATCCGTCTTTCAAATCCCATCGAATCACTCAGGTCTCTGCTTTGTTGGGTAGGTAGAGAGAGGAAATCAGTAAGTTATGTCCGAAGGCCGGGAACCGCCGGAAGGCTTCCCAGCTGTCGGCAAAGATGTTGTACTTGAGGAACACCCGGTGCTCCAAGCTGGTGGACAGAGTGACGTCCCTGCTCATGATGTAGATGCCATCGTTGTGAAGTGCACAGGTCAAGTTCAGGCCCGACTTGGACGTGTTCTCCTTCAGGTAGAGCCACTGCCGGGTGACGGTGTTGTAGGACTGCACGGTGAGCATGTCTTCACTCTGGCTGCTCCTGCGGTTGGGTCCCAGCTCGTGGAGACACCCACCCACGATGTAGATGGTCTCCTCCACCGACACCATCTGCTGCTTGCGGATGTGGACATCGCAGGTCTCGAACAGCGTCCACAGGTCAGAAGAGGGGCAGTACTGCAGGATGTGCATGTTGCGATCTGAAACACAGACAGAGGCGGGTGACAGGCGGCGGGGACGTGCAACGCCCAGGCGGCGGCGGGGCGGCGTCTTCCTCCACATACGCCACGTGGTGGCCACGGGCAGCTGAAGCTCCGTCAGGAGGGCAGGGGATAGAGCAACGGTTTTCTAAAAGGACTGGGGAGAGGTCGCCCGGGCTCCCCTCTTAGGAGGCCCTGGGAACCGCAGAGCCAGGTGGCTCACGCCTATAATCCCAGCACTAGGAAAACCTACACAGGCGAACCATGAGTCCGAGGGGCAGCCTGGAAAGGGCAGCTGTGACTCAGAGACAACTTGTGGGTGATGTTTTAGGTGGATGGCTACAGGAAGATGCCGGAGGCCTCAGAGCTAGGCCACAGCTCCTCTGCGGGAAGCGGTAACCTCAGCAAGTCCTGGCTGAAGTCTGCTCAGGGAGCACTGGCTCACAGCACTGTAGTGAAGTCTGTGCTTTTTTTTTTTTTTTTTTTTTGGTTTTGAGACAGGGTTTCTTTGTGTAGCTTTGGAGGTTGTCCTGGAACTCGCCCCGTAGACCAGGCTGGCCTCGAACTCACAGAGATCCGCCTGCTTCTGCCTCCGAGCGCTGGGATTAAGGGCGTGCGCTACCAACCCGCCCGGCTCAAGTCTATGCTTTTATGGGTAGCTCAGGCCATCAGAAGAACTCCAGCGACCTAATGTTAAAAACAACTGAAGGAATAATGTTGGTTTCTTTCCCCCAAGTTTTCAAGTAATTAGTTCAAGAAAGCTTACTCCCAGCCAAGCCTTACACGAAATAGAAAACCTGCATTGTAAAACTCACTCCTTGGCAGAGTGACGGTATGCTCACCTGGACATGCAGATGAGCCCCACACACACACAGGTGTGCCGCCTGGCCAGGCCTGAACACACAGGATCCACAGCACCAAGACAGTGCTGCCTACCTGTGGAGAAAGGGCTGTACATCCCTTAGAATGCCTCCTAGGGCCCTGCTCTCCGCCGCCTGGCCTGCACAGCCTGCCCTGTGCACCCTGACCCTGACCCTGACCCTGCAGCTGAGTCACAAGATCAGCACACAGTCCGACAGCCTCAGACCCTCACGGACAGCTACCTGGCAGGCCCAGCGGGGTCTGTCCTTGACAAACCCTAAAAGCCACGCCAAAACCCCAAAGCCAGCAAAGCAGGTCTCCCTGTCGGGAGACACAGAAGCCTCAGCCCCTGTTGGCCGCAGAGGCGGACTCACAGATCTGTAGCACAGGAGACACCCATGTCAAAGGCCCCACCTCCTGCCAACTCGTCAGGGCAAAAAGCCTTCTTTGTCTTTGTTTTTCCCTAACAGCCAATTTCTTTGAGGAGAAGTAGTATCTCTCTCTCTCTCTCTCTCTCTCTCTCTCTCTCTCTCTCTCTCTCTCTCTCTCTCTCTCTCTCTCTCTCTTCTCTCTCTCTCTGAAAACAAAACTGCCTAACATACCAGCTACTCTGGAGGCTAAGGCAGGAGGCTTTCAAGTCCAGGACTAGCCTGTGCTACAGAGTGAGTTTGAGGCTAGCCTTGGCAACTTAGTGTGATTCCACCTCGAAAGTCAGTGCGAAACGAAGGCTAAGAACCAAGAGTGCTTGCTAGTGTGCGTGAGGCTCCCGACACTGCAAAATAAGAAAAACAGGGCCTCACTTTCCTCTTTTTAAACTGATTTTTAATGTATTTTCTTCTCCAGGAAAGCACGAATGGTCTTAGCTGCAGCAAGAAAAGGAAATTACTAGCAATCGGAAATATGAAGTTCACGTTTGTTATTGTTAAACAACAAAACATATCAGTGGAGAAAGACAGCTCAGTTGGGAGCCAGCCCATCACAAGCATGCAGCCATGGACCCGCCCACAGTAACAGACCCTCCCATAGCAACAGGCCCTCCCATAGCAACAGACCCACCCATAGCAACAGATCCTTCCATAGCAACAGACCCTCCCATAGCAACAGACCCATCCATAGCAATGGACTCTCCCATAGCAACTGACCTGCCTAAAGCAACGGTGTCCACCCCTTCCCCCCCACACACACGCACACATGCACGCACCTCACCTGCAGCTACGTGTAAGGAGCTCCACAGTCATGCCTGGCATGATGGAGTTTATTTGCAATCATAGCACTCAGAGGCTGAGGCAGGAGGATTGCAGATTTGAGGCCAGCCTTGGCTACATAGAAAGACATTGTCTCAGAAAGGGAGAGTGGGTGGGTACAGACAGATGGACAAACTCCAGAGCCAAGTCCAGTTCCAAGCCAGCTGGGCCTTAGTGTATGCTGTCCCCGTGCCCATTAGCAAACCGCCTGGCTAGTCCTCACACAGGTCTGCATGTATCTACTTACAGACTAGGTGACAGGGGAAGTCCTTCTGTGTACATGTTTGCCTTATTGGCTGACAAATGAAGCACTGTTGACCAATAGGGAAGCAAGACAGGTGGGACTAGGAGTTGAGGAGGATTGTGGGAAATGCAGTCAAGAGTGGAGAGTTGCCATGGGATCCCGGGAAGAGAGGACCCATGAGGCTGAGTCCTCAGTAAGATAAGACCTTATAAAAATACGTATTAGTAATTACGTTACTAATGATTAAGTCAGGGCTGGCCATTAAGAAACCATAGCAAATGGCCAACAGCTTCACAATTATTATAGTGTCTCACATGTTATCTGGGGACAGAGAAAGCAGTGGGACCCAGGCAGCTGGCGGGAGACAGTATACAGTTACAACTCCATAATAAAGGTCACGCCAGGAGACAGACAAGGAGGTTTGATTAATCTACCAGGGACACCTGGAAGTTTCTCCTCGTCCCGATAGCCTGCAGGTCTTCCTGGGTCTTCTGCAAGCTCCACTCGGGCCACTGCCAAGCGGTCTGCTTGGTGGGATAACCCTCTGGGCTTTACACCTAAAATGGAGTCCTCTGCCCTTTAGGGTTGCTAGGATTTCCTACCGAATTTCTGTCGTTTTTTTGTTTGTTTTTTTTGAGAAGACGTCTCATTCTCTAGCCTGTATTCAGCTGACCTGGAACTCACTGTGTAGCCCAAGGATGGCTCAAAGGTTGCAGCAATCCTCCTGCCTCAGGCTCCCAGGTGATAAGACGACAGGGACGGGGCTCCACACCTGACACGTCCATTTCTCTACTGGCAAGAACCGAGATAACCAAAATCTACTATAAAAGTCATGAACCAGGGGGCTGGAGGGATGGCTCAGAGGTTAAGAGCACCAACTGCTCTTCTAGAGGTCCTGAGTTCAATTCCCAGCAACCACATGGTGGCTCACAACCATCTGTAATGAGATCTGGGGCCCTCTTCTGGCGTGCAGACATACATGGAGGCAGGGTGTTGCATTCATAATAAATAAATAAATCTTAAAAAAAAAAGTCATGAACCAGCCAGGCATGGTGGTGCACACCTTTAGTCCCAGCAGAGGCAGGTGGGTCTTCACGAGTTCATGGCCAGCCTGGGCTGTATATCCAGTCCAAGGGGAGCCAGGGCCACACAGTAGGGAGGCCCTGCCTCAGACAAACAAGCAAACAGTCATGAAACACTATTCAGTGAATTTCAAGTCTCTCTTAAGAAGTCAACGGGATGAGAGTCCAACTCCAGTCCTAGTTTCTATTTCTTCTTGGTTGTTTTGTTTTTTTGTCTTTTTCATAACAATTAGGAAGACCTGTTTGAAACAGGAACGATCAGGAAGTGCTGGAAAAGCCAGACAGAGAAGGACTAGAGAGGACAGCAGTGCCCAACCCTCTCAGCTCAGAACACAAACACCCACCCAGCCCCACCACCTGACCGCCCATCATGGTCTCTGGCACAGGGAACTCAGGACAGGCACCATCCTGGGTGGCCCAAGGGAGGAAGGCACACTAGTGGTGGCTTAAGAAGCTCAAAGCACACAAGAAGGGTTTTCCAGGTCAAATCTACAGCCTGCTTGCTCAGCCAAGGTCACGGAAAAGCCAGGAAATCTACCAGAAGAACAGGACCACCGGTAGCATCTGGTAGTCCTGCGGGGAGGAGAAGCTGAGGCACACGCGTGTCCTGTCAGCCGCGACCCATTCTGTCTCAGTCCGTCTGGGGGAGTTAGAGGCTCAGACATGGAACACAACACCCAAGGCTCAGGCAGGAGGACTGAGCTACAGAGACCTCACACCACCGGGGAGCTCCAGGGTAAGACCTTGCCTCAAGGCACAAACCACGCAGTCTCAAAGAAAGGAGAAACGTCTGTAGGTAAACAACCTAGTCAGTTTCTTCACCGGAAAAACAGAGGCAGAGATGTAGCATTTAGGCACGGCGGAGGACAGGGCTGTCTAAAGATGTGAAATCAGTTGATGGCTGTAGCCTAAGCCCTAGTGTGGAGAGAGAGAGCGAAAGACTACTAGCCAAGGCAAATATTCTTCTTGATTCTCCACAAAGAAAACGCCGACAAACCTCTTGTCTTCATGTCGGTCACTGGGAAGTGACAGATGCACAGATGCACAAATACACAGGCCACCTGCAGGGGACAGAGGGAGACACACACACACACACACACACACACACACACACACACAGATCCACCTCCTCAACCTCAGCACCAGCCAGCGAGACCTCATTTGAAAACAGATCTGCAGCCACATAAGTGAACATACTAGACAGGGATGGTGCTGGACCACAAACCCAACTGCTAGCATCCTGATTAGAGGCAGAGACACCCAGAGGAGAAGTTACATGAAGACAGGCAGGGATGCAAGGCAGAGCCACCGGACAGGGCGCTGAAGAGGTGAGGGAGACTACAGCCTTTGGAGAGCCCGGCTGAGAGCTTTCTCTCTTTCTCCCCCTAGAGACAGGGCGTACTAGCTCCCACGCTCACCTTCAAGTCTCGATCCCCCTGCCTCCACCTCCCCAGTGTTAGGATTACAGGGGTGCACCATCACACCCAGCCCTGGGCCACCCATCTGAACACTGTACTGGGGTGTCTGTCTGTCATTTACAAAGTCCCACGTGGTCACTTGCAGCCCCAGGGTGGCCTTCAAGCTGTGACCAGCCAGGGCTAGGAAGCCGTCTGCCCCATCCTACCACGAAGGACTGTGCCCCGCATACTAAACACACCAGCAAATCCGTGACCGGACCGTGACACCAGCAACTCCACGAGTCCGGGGACTCCTCTCCTTCGGCTGTGGGCTCTGCGGGTCAGATGCACCCAACCCAGTAGTAAATCCCTTTGGCCGAGAGACCACTTGGTGGCAGCCGCCTCGAGGGAGGCAAAGAGGAGGAAGAGGGGTGCAGCTTCTTCCCTGAATGTACCATCGTCCCTCTCACAGCCCTGATCCTGGCCGTGTGATCTCCCGACAATACGCAGTAGAGCCAAACCTGTGGATGGCCGCACCGCCCCCACAACACTCCTATAAAACACCAACGCAGACGGGGAAGCACACAAGGACGCTACCATCTGCTCTAGAAAGTTCTCTTGTGTTCACGTCCTTCCACACCCTCCCCCATGGGACACAGGAACAGGGTCCCAGGGCTTCAAGGCCTCTATCTGGTAAAGCAAAGGCAAAGATTTGACTCAGCCCGTATAGCACTGGTGGGTTGGCCCAACTCGGCAGGGAGTGGAGGGGAGGGGATACTTAGTTTACGCTTCTCTCCCAAGCAAAGCTGTGACCCTCTAGCATGGCCATGTTCCAGGTGCTGACCACAAGGCTGGGTTTCTAGAAGCACAAAGAACGTTCATAATTCCCCTCTTTCCGTGTGAGGGATGCTCACACGAGATCGTCAAAGGTCCTTGCCCTCATCAGGAACCGCTTCCTCAAGAATGGTGAGCACACAGCACTTGGTGCATGAAACCACACTCTTGCCCGTCCCAGGCCGTTGCGGCTTATGCGGCCAAAGCAGCTTACCCTCACTCACCTCGGGTGGTATAGCCGCCAATGACGTAGATCTTCCCCTTGCACTCGCAGGCAGAGAACTCAGCCAAAGGATTTGGCAGGGGGGCCACAAAATTCCACGCATCCTGCTCGGGGTTGTAGCACTCCACGTTAGACACAGCCTGCCCGCCGATGGCGTAGAGCTTCGAGCTGACTGCCACAAGCTTGAAGTTAGAGCTGAAAGAAAGACGCAATCCCGCAAGGTCAGTTCCGGTAGAGATGTAGGGAGAGGAAGAAACTGCAAGGGAGCAGCTACTGGTGACAAGGACCATTCTTGCTAGTGGTTCTGCTTCCAGGAACCGGACACCTGCGCCATGAACCAGGGCACCTGCCGCACACTACATTCAGTTCTCCTCACGTGAAGGCGCCACGCCTGGGATCCAGCCAGCAGCCAGACCCAAATGTGTGAGTTACACATTGCATCCGCACTGGACACGCACAGACATCTCCCCTAAGATTACCCAGCGGAGCAGCTACCCCCAAGGGCACACATCCACCGACTGGACGTTGCATGAAGCCCAGAGACAAGTTCAAGGACAGGAGGATGTCTGAGCGCTGTGAAGTCCGCGCCATTTTACGGATGAACCTAGACCCAGTCCCTGGCCATGTTCACTGCCTCGAGTCACTGTGATCCCCGTATCCTGCAGACAAACTCACAGAAGAATTTTTTGGCTCGCCGTTTCAGAGGATCTCAGCCTATCAAGGCAGGGACAGCGTGGAGCGGAGTTCATGGCAGCAAGGGCGTGGGACTGTCCCCACGGTGGAGGGGGAGGCAGAGAGAGGAAAGGAGCCAGGCAGCTGCTAGGTGTGGCCTTCAAACACCACCCTTTGAGACTACACTGCAAACCTCCTCGAGAGACCCAGATTCTAAACATTCCACAACCTCACCAAACGGCCATCACCAGCTGGGGAAAAACTATCCAAGAGCCAGGTGGTGGTGGCACACACCTTTAATCCCAGCACTCGGGAGGCAGAGGCAGGCAGGTCTCTGTGAGTTCGAGGCCAGCCTGGTCTGCAGCTCCAGGACAGCCAGGACTGTTACACAGAGAAAATCTGTCTCAAAAAAAAATATGAGAGAGAGAGAGAGAGAGAGAGAGAGAGAGAGAGAGAGAGAGAGAGAGAGAGAGAGAGAGAGAGAGAGAGAAGAGAAGACTCACCCCTAGGCACTCTCCTCACAGAATGGCTAGTTCATTTCTCCTCAGAGAGGAGGTTCCATCCAGGTACAACACAGGCATTAACGGGTGGTCACCAGCAGCGACACACCCACTCACCAGAAGGCAGTTCATATACTCAGTTGCTATATATAAACGGGGAGGGCTGGGCTGAATTTAGTTAAAATCCTCTAGTCCCGTATTCTAGAGTATTTATAGATGTTAACAAACACGTTATCTCAACAAATGTGCTGTCGTCAGCTTCAAATACTAGGTGAGACAAAAATCAGTTTGTTCTGAGGGCGTCCCCACCTCTCTGCAGGGACACACAACAGCCACGTCCACAAGCCAGCGCTGAGCTACAGCGAAAAAGGCTGGGCAGCCCGTTTACTTCAGGTGGGCATCTCTAACGTGGTGGGGGGGGGGTCTCACCCCAGCAGCTAAACACACAAGCCAGAGATGCTCTCGGCACAACCTCGAGGCTTTCTGCCGCGTGAAACGAGGGTGCTGGACACAGCCCTCGTGTCTAACTCCAACAAAGGAAGGACTGCTCCAGAAGGAACTACGTCCCTGGAAAGACGGGGCAGAAGCTCCAACGGCAAAGCAACAGCAGAGGCCGTGTGTGCGGCAAGGGGGAGGCCAGGACACGGCAAGGTGGGTCGCGCACACCAGCAAGCGTAGGAAGAAAGCACGGTGCTTTCTCTACAGGTGCCTGGGTGCGCAGGAACTGTCCTCAGTCTGCCTTCCAAACAAGAAGGTGAACCCAGGATTCTGCACCCAGAGAGCCTCAGAGCCATTAAAACTCAGCCAGCCGTGCAAGTTGACTTCGCCCTGGTGGCAGCAACTAGGGGGGGTCTCCCGTTCACGCTGGTTGCTTTCCCCGCTGCCAATGGCCCTTAACGTCCAACCGTGGTGCCCGCTCTGGGTGCAGATCTGGTGAGCCAGAGGAAATAACGCTTGTAAACAAGCACTAAATCCTGACCGGCTCAGGCTGGTTTCACTTCCCGCAGATACACAGATAGTAAATTCTGCAATATCAAAGCAGTGCGTGTGATCCACCCAGCACACTCATCTGTCTTCAGCAAACAGGTAAGAGGCTTTTTTCTTTTTCTTTTTCTTTTTTCCTGAGACCAATCGGACAGGCAGCTAAGTAAACAGCTCCATCCCCCCAAACCCCATGCGCGCAAGCTCTCCTCAAGAGAAACGTTTATTAATGTTGGGTTTGCTTGCAGATGGGCTGGCCACCTAAAAACAAGCCGATGGCTAAATTTAGAGGCACATCACTGCGGGCTCCAACTCCAGCCTTGTATGGGGATCTAAGCCCCACTGCTGAACAGCTGTGAAGCCTGGGACACTGACTGAAGCTCAGCAGGTCTGTGCCTCAGTCTCCCCTTCTGCTCTGTGGGGGGGCAGGGAGGGTGATTTTCCTCATTTCCTCCTTTCTTAAGCCTTGGGTTTTTTTTTTTTTAAAGATTTTCTTACTTATGAGTGCAGATGAATGCAGGTGTCCACAGTGGCTGTGAGCCACCCCAAGTGGGCACTGGGAACCAAGCTCAAGTCCTCTGGGACCGCAGTTTGTGTCCTTAACCACGGAACCATCTCTCCAGCTTTTAAACTTTATTACATTTCTTTATTGTGTCTTTCTCTCTGTGTGTATGTATGTGTGTGTGTGTGTGTGTGCGTATGCATGTTCATGCATGTGTTGGTGTGCATGCTACAGTGAACATAAGGAGGTCAGAGGGAAACTTGCAGGAGTGGGTTCTCTCCCTCAGCCGCAGGTAACCCAGGGATGGACTCAGGTGTCAGGTTCAGCAGCAGCCTCTGTACCCACTGAGCCCTCTCTCCAGCCCTGAGCCCCAGTCTCTTAGCTCCAGGAGGGCTGGTTTCCTACCGCACAGACGCCCTCCAGAACCCTGCAGCTTGCCTTCCCCTCTACAAACCCGCGACATCTCATGTCTAGCTCCCGACTCGTCACCTCAGGAGCGTGACTGTGCATCTGAGCCACCCATTACTTCACAGTTATCTCTTCTTCCTTCGCACTGATCCCTGACACACTCTGATCGGGAAGAGAGATATCTGCCAACGCCAAATAAGCCTCCATTTTGTAGCTGTGTGTGATTCATCACTTGCAAGTGAGGAAAACTTAAGGCTTGGCTACAATTTAATTCCCATTTCACTGAGAGGAAACAAAAAGCCCTGTAGGGCTGAAGAGCCACAGTCTGATGATGATAGAACATGGCTTAGCATACGTGTAAGACCCTGGGTCCCACTCCCAAAGCAGAGGTGGTGGTGCAGAGGGGGAGGTCAGTGATTGCCCAGCGGCTGACACAGGATATCTTACAAGTTCAAAGCCAGCCTGGGCTACTCAGTGAAAGGCTAAGCTGAGCTATACAGCAAGACCCAAACTCAAGCATACACTTAAACCTGAGCGATGAGAGCCTTGCTAAACGCCCAGCCACCGGCTAACAGCCACAGAAACCACAATGAGGACGGTGATAACCCAGATGGAGTCCAGCCCCGTGATTGTGTGAAAACGAACTGCACTCACTGGGGAATCGGGGTCAGTAATAAAGCCAGCCTCACGGAGCTGCCGTGGCGGATGACAAAGTGAGCACAACGCTTGACCCAGAAAGAGGGTTCCAGAAACAAAAACGCCACCGTGGCTCGCTACAGACAGTCCTACTACTGTGGCTGCATTCCTCCCCGGCCTGGGCGGTGTGCAGGGCCCATCCAATCCCTCTGTCGCTCCTTCCCTCCCTCCATAGTGACCTCTGCTGGGAACCAAGGATGGAGATGAAGTTGGAAAACAGAAGTGCTCATTGTGGCCTCAACAACCTGTGGGAAACTCAGAACGCAAAAGTCAAAAAGCAGTTTCAACCGTTGGCCAGAACTCGCCTGGGGAGGTTAACAGGCCATTTTCCCTCCTTCCCTGGTCAGGCCCAGCTGTGTGGGCTTCACAGTCAAGCACAAAAGCATCTCAAGGGTCCCCAGTCCGGCTGCTTTGCCAGAAGATACCTGTTGGTAAAGCATCTCTGGCCTTGCTGCCTTCACACACACAGCAAACCCAGATGAAAGGACAAAACCGCTTCTTACAAGGAGCCACTCAGACCCGGAGTCTGTGTGTGAGTCAGGGCTTGCCCGGCCAGCCCTGCGATGCATTCTCTTTGCCATGCCAGGTTTCCATTATTGGTGAATTGCTCGTTTTCAAGACAGAATAAATTGCCGACATTAAAAAAAAATGGGGTTGGCCTGGCATTGGTGGCGCATGCCTTTAATCCCAGCACTCGGGAGGCAGAGGCAGGCGGATCTCTGTGAGTTCGAGACCAGCCTGAACTACCAAGCGAGCTCCAGGACAGCCTCCAAAGCCACAGAGAAACCCTGTCTCGAAAAACCAAAAAAAACAAAAACAAAAAAAAACGGGGTTACCTCATGTCTGGCCAGCCTGACCCCTCACTTTCACTAGGGAATAGCCAGTGTGGTCCTGGGTGAGTGGCCACGGGGTGACACATTGACACCTGGTCCCCCAGAACTCCTACTCACTCTTCTAACCCCTGACATCACTCGCCCTGCCTCTTTAGGACTCCAGTTTTGAATCATACGGAAACAACCTCTAATCCCAGCACCCGTGAGGTTAAGAAACGCAAGGCTCTCCTCAGACACAGAGAGTTCAATGCCGGCTTGGCTATGTGAGACCTTCTCTCAAAAAAAAATGAAGTGGTGGCACACACCTTTGATCCCAGCACTCAGGAGGCAGAGGCAGGCACATGTCTGTGAGCTTGAGACCAGCCTGGTCTACAAAGCTACACAGAGAAACTCAGTCTCAAAAATTCCAAAATAATAATAATAATAATAATAAACAAAATAACAAAGAAAACCAGACCAAATATTATATCAATAGATAGACGTCTGTGAACACAAAAGTTTGCTGTGGGATCACTTTATTGCACTCTGACACTCCTGAGACTGACGATAAAGTTTACCTTGAGTCAGAGGGCACAGCTGGCTACTAGCTGACCGGAATCAGCCATAGAGGTTTTGGAGGACCCGGACACATGGAGAGACACAGGAAGTAGTAGGGAGGGGTTAGAAACACTGTCAGTCAGTTGGGATCAAGGAAGAAGAGAGAAAAGGATCACTTCTCTGGTAAACCAGGTTTTAACCCCATATCTGACTCCTGAGTTTTTATTAATAATAGAATAATTTAGATTAACTGTTATAAAAGCTCACACACAGTAACATCTAGAAGAAACATTAAGCATCCTAATTTAGAGTAAAAATATACAGACACGCATCCCACTCGGGAACACACACACGGCTCCTGAATGGATAACGGCTGGCCTATATACATAAGCATAAGCATCCATGCGATTATAATACCCAACTATGACACCCATGTATAGATGCTGTTGTGGTTGGGTACCTAGTGCCCCTGAAGGCTCACGCGTTGATGGGCTGGTCCCCCTGCATTGCTCACAGACAGATTTAGGGAGGGCTGAGTGAGGGGAGGGGTCTGACCTCATCAGTGCATTGGCCCGTGGATGGAATCACGTGACACTGTGACTCCTTGGAAGAAGGGGGTCCCTCGGTTGGGGGGAGTAGGAGGGGGTTTGTCTCTGAGGGGTATTTTTCTTCTCAGCAGTGAGCTGAGCCCCTCTGTTCCGCTATGTGTTCTTGGCCCGGCCCTCATTCTTGCTTGGTCCTAAATAATGCCCCTCGCAGTCTCAGCCAGACACCACCACAATGAAAAACAGTCAAGGGGCGCGTGGCGGTGGTCAATGTCGTCAGCTTGACAGGACCCAGAACGACAGACCAAGGTCTGGGTGGCGTGTGAAGAATGTTCTAGAGAAGGGAAGACTCTTCCACCATCTGGGATCCAGACCATGGAAAGGAGAAAGCAAGCTAACATTGGCATCCACCCCACCCCTGTCCTCCTGCTTCCTCAGGCTCTTGTCACCAAGCCTTCTCCACCCTCCAATTAGTCAGCCAAAAGGAACCCTCCCGTGATGGAGCTGCTTCAGGTGCCAGCAACAGCATGGAAGGCAAGACGCACTCCCCCTACAGTCTCCCTGTGAGGCAGAAGCCCGAACACAACTTGACCGTGGTTAAAGAACACAGAAAGAACATGCTGTGGCAAGCGGACCGAGGCTATCAGGCTAGACCGGTGAGGTGTCAGGCCTGTAGAGCTAAGGCCACCATACAGTGTCCAGGTGGATGGAGCTGGAGACACATGGGGGGTGGGGGTGAGAGAACCTAGAACCTTCCGCCTCTCTCAGGGCGCCACCTTTGCTGATTCCATTAAAGCTCTTAAAAATTATTTTTAAATTAACACTTTTGATCCTAAGCTTTATGATTTCGTTTCTGTTTTCAGAAAGGGTCTCTGTAGCTCGGGCTAGATCTTCCTGCCTCAGCCCCCTAAGTCCTACGATTACAGGCAGGTGCCTGTAATGATGATGCAAATATCATATTACAGGAGGTTTGACGGAAGCCCACCAACCCCCAGCAGTACCTCTGCTTCTTATACTTCAGCTTTGCCAGGATTTTCTCAGGATTCGCTTTTTATTTTTATTTGGTGCCTGCATGTGTACGTACATGTGCGCATGGGTGCCCCGTTAGCTGCAGATGCCCTGGAGATGCAGCCAACAGGTTACAGCACCCAGGGTGGGAGCTGGGAACCCAACACCAGTCTTACGAAAGAGCACCAAGTGCTCTCCACCTCTGAGCCACCGGGACAAGCTATGTTCCTGCAAATAACCCCTGACCTAAGGGTCCCTTGTCCTGCGATGGGCCAGGCGGATCCAGTCCAGATTTCTTCCTTCTACCTTCCAGGCAGAGACCACAGTGGGACTCAGGTGGCAGCAGGTGGCCTGGTAGAGAGGGCCTGTCCTGTCCTGGCTACTCTTCTCACCATGTCTGGGGCACTGGTGATTGGATGGAGGCCTCAGGAGTGCTAGCAAGGGCTCTCACACCGAGATACCGTCTCCCCACTCTCCTTGGTTTCGCTCCGCTATCCAGGCTGGCCTGGAGTTCACCTGCAACCTAGAAAGGCCTTTACCTTGGAACCTGCCCGCTTCGGCCATCTTAGCAGCTGGGCAGCAGGCCTGCAACAAGAGACACAACTTCTGAGGCCACCTGGGACTACTGTCTGGACTCCCGTTCTCTTCCCGTGTCTGCTTTTTTTTTTTTTTTTTTAATCTTGCTTTCATTTTCCTCTCCAGGCTCCTTTCCTTCCGTCTCCTCCTGGTACCCTGACCCCGAGCTCCGCCTCTTCTTCTCTGAACCACCCATGGTCAGGGTAAGAGGGCTCCACAGGCAGGGAATGAGTCGGGGTGGGGGGGAGGAATACATCAGGCCCTTTGAGTCCACAGGTTCACAGATTCAACCAGTAAGAGGGGAAAGTGTGTATGCTGCACACATGCAGGCTGGTTTCTGCCATTCCCTAAATGATAGTCTGGCAACACGGACACGGTAGACACATTTCAGTTGACGTTATAAGGATCACAGAGATTATTTATTGTAGGAAGACGGGTGCGCTAGTGCACACCTTCAATCCCAGCACTCTGAAGGCTAGAAGGCGGGAGTTCAAGACCAGCCTGAGGAACAGCGCACCAAGATAAAGGAAAACCACTGAGCCTAAGTGGGGAGGGGGTGGTATATGTAGGCTTCGTGCTAACGGCACAGCCACAGGATTCTCGGGCAGACAACAGACTCAAGGGACAATGGCATGCCCGTTCTGTAGGTGACCGCTCTGGGCTCAAGTTTTGAGGCAAAGACGATTGCTGTCTAGGGAGGAAATAAACAAAAGAAGGGAGAACGAAGGGGTAAAAGAAGTGAATCCCTGTATGGCACACATTAATATCGCCCTAGGGATGGCGGACTCCTACAGAAGGGTGCAAGGTCACTGACAGCAACAACGAAAGTTCCTGGAGCCCAAGACGCATGATAACTCGGATCAGACCAGGGAAGAAAAGAGAAGGAAAAAAAAAAAAAACCCAAACCAGCAGTTACCTTTCGTAACATCCTCTGCGAGTACACCAAGACACAGACACCTAAGGCCCGCACCTGGAAGGAGGTCACTGGGCTAGCCCACTTCCTCCTGGCAGGCCCCCGCGGACACACTTACCGTTTCTGGTTCATGGAGGCCACCTGCAGCCACTCGTTGGTGGTGGGGTTGTAGGAGTGTGCGGCGGAGATCTCCTGGCTGGTGATCCGGTACCCGCCCACGATGAAGAGGTAGTTGTCCAAGATGGCTGAGCCGTAGCCCCTGACGTTCACCAGGTCCGGGGGCAGGTTGTTGGCCAGCGGGAACCAGCGTTCCGTGGTCTCCTCGTACCTAAGCATGGACGGGGGTTCCCCCTGATACGGGTGCGGGGCCAGGGGTCCCCCGAGGAAGTCCCCCAGGGCCACTAGTACCGGGGTCCCGCGCATGCGGGCCTCCCTCAGCCTCTGCTTCAGGCTGCCGTCCCCCGGGGCCTGCGGCGGCGACAGCAGCAGCGGGAACTGCGGCTGGCACAGCACCTGGTGGAAGTGCAGCGCCATGAAGCGCAGGCAGGCGCCCTGCAGGTCGGGCAGCCCGTACACCTGAGCCAGGCGGTACAGCTCCAAGCAGTTGCCCAGGCGCACATGCGACAGCAGCAGGCGCAGCAGCGCCGTGACCTGCAGGAAGGACGCGGCCTCCACCAGCTCGGCCAGCACCTCGTCCTCGCCCGGGCCCCAGCCCTCGCGCGCGCCGCCCGCGTTGATGAAGTCCAGCACCAGCCGCAGGCCCGGCGCGCTCAGGCCGCGCAGCTGCTGCACCTCGGGGCCGGCCTCGGGCCGCACGGCCTCGCGCATGCCGGAGCGGTAGAGCGCGCGGAAGTAGTCGCTCTGTTCGATCAGCTTGCTCTTGCTCACCGGGTAGCAGCGGCCTTCCAGGCGGATCTGCACCATCTCCTCGGCGGACATGGCTGGGCCGCTGCGCCCGCCGCCCCGCCGCGCAGGCTCCTCCCTCCCGGGCTCGCACCCCTCCGCCGAGCCAGGCCTGCGCCCGCGCTTCCTTCCGCCGCCGCCGCCGCGGGCCCTCGGGGCTCGGCCCCGCCGGCGCGTCATGCGCCTTCCGAGTAAATGGCCTCTCTGTGTCTTTTCACCGACGAGTCCGTGTGGGTGCGTTGCGCGTGAGCGCGGGTGTCGGGAGGCCAGAGGCGGCGCATGATCCTGCAGCCCCAGGGACTGGCGGTTGTGAGCCGCCCTACGCGGGAACCGAACTCCGGACCTCCGCAGCCGCGTGCACGCTTAACCAGTGTGTGCGTTCATCCAGCCAGCGCCGGTCTTTAAACTTTTTGTGATTGATTGGGAAACAAACCAACCAACCAACGCACAAGTCATTGTACACGTTTCTTACCGCAGGTTCAGCAGTCCCCGCGTGGGTTTTCTGGGACCAGTCAGCACTGCTAGGTTTGGATTGTGACCGGCCTGGTGGTTCAAGAATACACTGAAGGGTGACTGGAGCTAAGTAGAGTCTTGTTAACTCCATGGGCAAGACAGACAGATACAGACAGACGGGCAATGGCATAGTTGGGGCTCCAAGGAAGAGTTCAGACCACAGCAGCGGAGGAGACAGCAAGCAGGGTCTCTGGGGAGAGCCAGAGGCCGAGTTAGCACCCGAAAGGGGCAGGGGCGGGTGGAGGGAGAGGACACTGAGGTGCCTTAGGCCTGTCGCCTTAGGTAGAAGTCTGAGGCAGGCAGCCTTTGTTCGCTCTTACACCACCCCCCCATGACCCTGTCCAGAGCTTTCCCACCTTCCCTGGAGGCACACTCGGTTAGAAGGCCGGCTGCTAAGGGCTGGCTGTGGTAGTGCTCCCAGGCAAGGTGCCCTGCTTTCCATTCCCCTGCATAACTGTGTCAGCTGGCCGCTCTGCAGGGGGGAGGGGGTATTCAGCCATTGTATTCTGCAGAAAACAAGCAAGGATAAGGAGCTAGAAAGTCCAGAAAACATTCTGGCCAAGTCCAGCCTTGCTAGGGCAAAGGGGACACACACACACACATACACACACACACACACACACACACACACACACACACACACACACACACGAACCTGGGACTTGCTACATGCACTTTGTTACTTTCTTGGATTCTCTGAGAAACTTGGGACACTGCCTTATGTGACGGACAGGCCTTGAATCACTCCTGGATGGCTTCCACAACGTATCTGTCGCTCTCCAGTGTCTGGGGGGTGCGTGTGTGAGGAGGGTGCAGATGAGGGCCAAGGATTTAGCCGTCTCTATGGCAAGGCAGAGTGCCACATCTACCATTAGAGGTTAGGCTGGGGGCTGCTGGGAGGCATGACTTCAAAGAGGCTGGACCTGATCTGTCTGTGCCTCCTTTAGTAACTAGGCAGGAATCAGCGGGTCACCAGAAGGACAGGTTCTTAGTCTCTGGCTCTTTAGATCCTTTACCAATGGGAGCTTTTGTTTCCAGATCACAGATACGCCTTCACCTGGTATTCTCTTGCCTTTTAGAGACAAACCAAAAAGCCAACCTTAGAGGCTGATTCTCATTAGAAAGGCAATTTAACCACGGTCACTTTACCACGGCAAGGTCAGCTGGGACTGGAATTCGGAGTGTTCCCTGACAACACCGGGCACCCATCCCACAAGGTTTTTGACCCTGGACAACACAATGACATTGTTAGAAACTGGGGGTGTCTTTTTTTTTTAATCCAGTAATTTTAGTAAACCACACAGTGAGTGTTCTAGAAAGCTAGGCATAAAGACAAAACACATACAAGCTCCTTCGTTACAAAGTAGCTACACTACGATTTCACTTGAATGTATCGCTTAGTATTATCATTCCTTTGTTACAAAGTCGCTACACTAGATTTCAAGGCTTCCTGAATGTATAGCTTAGTGTAATTCCTTGTTACAAAGTCGCTACACTATATTTCAAGGCTTCGTGAATGTATGGCTTAGTGTTATCATAGTAACCAGAAGGAGCTGCCATTGATCAGTAGGTGACAGTGACAGCTTCTGCTCAAAGACCTACAGCTCGCCAGGTCACAGGGGAGCCCACTACCGCTGCTCTGCTAAATGAGTATGTTGTCCAATTACCTTCTACATACTGTGGTGGTGTCCACAGATCAGTGCTGCTCCTGCTTGGCATTGGCCAAACAAGTCTCTTTCAGCAGAGGGCAGCAGGGCGGAGACTGACAGTCAAAGTGCTTAGGAGAAGTGCCTGGAAGGTTCAGCCTTCTTAAACTGGACATCTATACCAACCCCCAATGCTCGGGGAACAACATGGAACCCGGCTGAAAGAATGTAAGAACGGGAGGGTGGGGAGGGGCATATGGAACGCTGGCTTCTGAGTGGGGCGTGGCTCCTGCCCTCAGGAGCTCACAGAAGCTATGCTCACCTGCACAAAACCAAGCCTACAAGAGCAGTCGGCATTCCAGCAGGCAGCACTTAGTGGGCTACCAAAAAAAAGGTGGTGGTGGTGGGGGTACGGGGACCTGAAGGTGGGAGGGGGAAGCATATTAGGAGGTATTTGGGGGAGGAATTAATTGGGGGGAGAGTATGCTGAAGATACATTACATACATGTCTGAAATGGTCAAAGAGTAAATAAATTCTAAAAATATTTTGTGCCAAATCCATATCATTAGCATACAATTTTACTTTTGATAAATGGTAAAAACTATATGCATATCAAAGAATTAAGATAAAATTCTTTATGATCTACTCTCAGTAAGGTTTGGTTTGTGTGTCTATTTTATACACTATATACCTGGAGCTAAGAAAAACATTTCTGCCAGGCACCTTTGGTCCCAGCGCTCCGGAGGCAGAGACAGGTGGATCCCTGTGAGTTCGAGGCCTGCCTGGTCTACAGAGCAAGTTCCAGGTTAGCCAGGTTTGCACAATGGGATCCTGTCTCAAAAGCTTCGGAGTTGGAAGTGGAAAAGTTCAAGAAGCCCCCTCAAGACCAGTGTCCCCAAAAGTCTTAGGATGCCACCTGGGACATTTGTAAAACTAAGAATTCTTATCCCCACAGCAGATCTACTGGGTTAGGCTGTTGGGGGCAGGGAAAGGGTGTAAGGCTTTTGTCTTAGATCCACACCTTACTTCTGAGCTCTCTCAAGAACATCCTGGGGCCGACAAACAGCTCAGGGATTGACTATTACCCAGCACACACACAAGGCCCTGGGCTGCACACCAGCAAGGATAAAGGAGAGCATCCTATAACAAACAACTATAAGGTCTGGCTGGTGAGGTGGTTCCACGGGTCAAAGCGCTTGCTGAGGAAGCCTGATGGCCTGAGTTTGCTCACCAGGAGAGCTCTGGAAAGTTGTCTCTGACATGGGCGGGCACCATGGTGTGTGCGAATGTGCCTGTATGTGCATGCCTGTGTGTGCACGTGTGGGGGTGGGGTGTATATGTGAGCATGAATGCACTTGTGTGATGTGCAGTGGGGAGGCGGGTTCATGTGTGATCACGTTAGAGATCGACTCGGTGGAGTCTACTCTAGTCTGCTTTCACTGGGAGACAGAGCTCGGGTCGCCACATAAGCCCTTTAATGGCTGTTGTATTTCACCTACATCATGAGCACTTGGAGGGGGGGTCGAATCCTTAGGAAGAAAGCTCATGACTGGCTTACATGAAAACTACCAGCCCTAAGAAGTAACCAGAGTAAGTATACAATCGGTGTGCAGCTATCGAAAAATTAAACATTTCAAATAGAATTTTCCGGTTTTTTCTTTCTTTCTTTCTTTTAAGCCTTTAAACGTCAAATAAGTACATGCACTGGTTTTCTCCGGAGCCCGAACAACGGAACTTTAAAAAAATGAAGTCACCAGCTCTTCACCCTATACGGACCACCTCACAAAACAAGGTGTTGTTTCTGGAAACAGAGCATCCCTTAATCTGATGTCAAGAGACTAGGCAATTGTTTTCCTCAGCAGGACTCTGGGCTAGGGTTTCTCCTGGCCTTCATATCTGCGTAGAAAAAGGTGTTGGTGACTCTTCACTCCCAGAGAAAGAAGAAAAGCCAAGGGGAGCATCCCATCTTCAGGAGAGGAAGGGTGGAAAGGGTCAGAACACTGAAACCTGCTGGAGAGGGTTCAGAGACAGGGCCAGTGCTCTCCCGGGGCCAGTGCTCTCTAGGGGCCCAGCTGCGGAGACAAAGAAGGTGCCCAGCCGCCTCTGTAGGACGCCCCCCGGACGCAACCCATGGTCAGCTCCAGCTGCTGCCTCCCTTCAGGACCCAGAGATGCAGGCGGCGGGGCTGCTGTTGCTGGGGCTGGCTTGCACCGTGCACGGGCTCTGCTCGCCCTCCGTGTTCTACAGAGACTGCTGGGTCCGCCGCTTCCCAGGGCTGTCCCTGAACCTAGAGGAGTCTCAGAAGCTGGGGGCCCAGTTCCTCAAGTACTACTCGGAGAACACTGGCCAGAAGTGCAGCCGGAGCTGCTGCCTCAGGAAGGACGGTGAGTGGCGAGCACAGACAGGGCTGGGTGGTGTCAGAGCAGCGGGGCAGGAAGAGAAAGGACCAGCGAGGGCCCCGGGGTCAGAGCACAAGGCTCAGGCAGAGCAGGAGGACCAGCGAGGGACCGGGAGGGCCAGAAGGACCCCAGGAAGGGGGAAGCATCAGAGCAGGTGGTTTTGAACCAGGTCTTCCTGACTCTGGAGAATCCAGGGCATCCTGTTGTAGTTGACAAAGTGCTAAATGGGTATAGATTTCTTACGGGGTAACGAACTTGATTTTAATCATAGCCCAGTGTTTCCAATAAGCTGGGCGTTGTTGCCCAAATCCGTAATCCTGAAGGGAAGCAGCAGCTGGAAGGGAGACCAAGGCTAGCCTCAGCTACATTGTGAGCTGAGCCCAGCCTGGGCAGTCTCAGACTGTGTCTCAAAAACAAAACAAAACAAACAAAAAAGATTTACAACAATTTACTTTTTTTCTTTTTTTTTTTTTGGTTTTACGAGACAGGGTTTCTCTGTATTGTTTTGGATGCTGTCGGTCCAGCCTGGCCTCGAACTCACAGAAATCCGCCTGCCTCTGCCTCCTGTGTGCTGGGATTAAAGGCGTGCACCACTGCCCGGCTGCAACAATTTACTTTTGTTGTTTTGATCCTATCCCACACCTCTCTCTAACTTTCCCAGATTCCCACAGGACTCAACTTCAAATTCTCTTTTAAAAAAATAATCCACTGAGTTCAGTTTATGCATGACAGACCCTCCCTCCCACGAGGCCATCAGCTGCCAACAGCGCCTCAGTTAGGGGTGAGGGCTCATGGGTTCCAGCCCCAGGCTGGAATGCTGACTGGTTTGATCTTGTATAGGTCTTGTGTAGCAGTGAATTCACGGCCCCCTCCATCTCCGAAAACCAAGTGCCGGAACTACAGGCGCACACCACCGCACCTACTTTAATAATTTCTTATGATAACTGGAGGTTCTTTATAACATGTGTCTCTTGGATCCATACGAAACACGGAGAGATGGACAGGAAGCTAGAGTGTGGATCATGCTATCTTTAATTTCCCCAATAGATTTCTTCTCTTCATAATAAATGGGATTCAGATGTAACTATCACCCATACACCCACATCACAACCTTCAAGGCCACAATCACCTAAAGACACTTTCTTTCTCCCCACCCCACCCCCACCCGGAGTTTTCCCTAATTTTTTTTAAAGATTTATTTATTTATTACATATACACTGTTCTGTCAGAAGAGGGCACCAGATGACTTGTAGATGGTTGTGAGCCACCATGTGGTTGCTGGGAATTGAACTCAGGACCTCTGGAAGAGCAGTCAGTGCTCTTAACCTCTGAGCCACCTCTCCAGACCCCAGTTTTCCCTAATTTTAAAGCTATCTGGAAAGAAGTGAGAGTGAAATAGTGTATTGTTGGAGCAATCCCTATGGTGACTCCGCCGTAGAGTGTTCCGGAGACAGCAGCCAGGTTTTCAGTGATCAATTTGAGAGACCTGTTACAGGCCACGGCCTTCAACGCTAATGAGGTATGAAGAACGGCCAATCTTATAAAGAGGAAACTTTCCAAAGCAGGGTCAAGGCTGGTGAAGACGGAGGTTTCTGTCCCACCTGGTCCCGAAGCCGTTTAGCTCCAAATAAACATATGGATGCTATATTAATATTTAGAGTGTTTGGCCGCCGATGGTTTAGGCTTCTTACTGGCTGGCTCTGTCTCCGTTATTAACCCACTTCTATTAATCTATGTACTGTCACGAGGCTGTGGCTTACCTATAATATGGCGTGTCACCCTTCGGCAGCATGGTGTCTCTTCCCTGCCCTCTCTCCACACCCCCCATTCTTCTAGTCTGGTAGCCCCGCCTGGCTACTGGCCCATCGGTGTTTTAGTCATCAACCAATAAGAGAAACACGCATACAGAAGACATCCCCATCAGGCTGGGGTGGAGACTCAGTTTGCAGGGTACCTGCCTAGCATGCTGGAGGCCTTGGGTTCCCTCTCTGGCGCATAAACCCCAGCCTGGGATGCTTGAGATCTGGCTGAAATAAAAACAAAACAGGGGTTGGGGAGTTGGCCTCATGGTTAATGTGCTTGCCAGACAAGTGTGAGGTCACAAGTTTGAATCCCCAGAACCCACTTAGAGAAGGGCACAGGGGCGTGGCATCTATAATCCTCAGTGATCCCAAAGGGAGCTGGGAGGCAGAGGCTGAGGGTCTTTGATAGCGCACAGAACAGCTAGCCTGATGCCCAAGGTTGTCCTCACACACATGCACACTCACACACATGTCACACTCACACACACTCATACACATGCACACCCCACGCACACTCATGTGTGCACACTCACACATGCATACTCACACACACACACATACATCACACTCACACACACATCACACACACAAGATTACAGAGAGAAAACCAGTCCAGGGCTGTCATGAAGACATACCTCAGCAGACTGTGAGTCAGGGCAGGAAGGCGGGGCCCAGGCTTGCCGCCTTCCTATCCCTAGTCAATGTCTTCTTCCTGTTCTCCCTCTCTCCCTCCCTTCCTCTCCCTTTCCTGAAGTAGCCCATGCCAGAGTCCTGATCCTTCCACCTCAGCCTCTGGAAAGCTGAGATTGTAGGTGGGCACCACATTCCTGGGCCCATAGAAATCATTGTGAATGGCTGGAGAGAGGTCTCGGTGGTTAGGAGTGTAACATACATGCTCCCCACCAGCCTGGTCCCTGAGCCATGACAGTCCCAAATGAACACGCAGGATGTTATCTATAATAATTATGAAGCTGTTGGCCATTTGCTATGGTTTCTTAATGGCTGCTCTGAATTAATTATTAACCCATAATTACTAATATATATTTTTATAAGGTCTTATCTTACGGAGGACAGTCTCATGTGTCCTCTCTTCCCGGGATCACATGGTGACTCTCTGCTCTTGACTATGTTTCCCAGAATCCTCCTCAACTCCTAGTCCCACCTATCTTGTTTCCCTATTGGTCAACAGTGCTTTATTTATCAACCAATAAGACAACATATACACAGAAGGACTTCCCCCATCGTAAGAGCATCTATTACTCTTGTCGAGGACGTGAGCTCAGTTCCCAGCACTCACACTAGGTGGCTCAAGACCATCTGTAACTCTGTCTCCAGGGATCCGATGTCTCTGTTCTCCACGGTACTTACACGATGTCACTTACCACCCCTCTCAACAGACACACAAATACCTGTAATTAAAAACAGTCAAAACTAATCTTTCATGAAAATAAATATCTCTAATAAAAATCACTCTCCATAAAGCCAGATGTGGTGGCCAATGCCTGTAATCCCAGCACTTGGGAGGTTGAGGCAGAGAGGCTGCCTGAAATTGTGGTCTCATTGGGATACACAGTAAGTCTGAGTTCAAGACCAGCTTAGGCTATACAGTGAGATCTTACCTCAAACAAAACAATATTGTTCTCTACCACATCAATGACTTCATCACAATCTGAATATTACATAAGAACTTTTTAAGTTCCTTTCTCTTGTAACTTCCCAGAACCATCCTGGGGGACTGTTTTTGCAAACTGATACATTAGCAAAGCATTGGTAATTAATTTTGTCCTGTTATTTCTCCTCTGGAAAAGATAAGGAATGCAGAGACCCAAGGATGTCCCAGAAGTAAGAGCAGAGCTGTGGGTCCCCGTGGCCAACTGTCCTGAGAAGCAGCTCCCCATATGTCAGGAGGATGCACTCACCGCATGTCACATGTCAGGAGGATGCACTCACCCCATGTCACATGTCAGGAGGGTGCACTCACCCCATGTCACATGTCAGAGAGGATGCATTAACCACATGTCACATGTCAGGGAGGAGTAACTGACTCTAGGTTTCCAGAAGCAACACAGCATGTTTTAAGGAGCAGATTTAGAAAAGGGAGGTCAACATGAACATGTGATATGCAGACATGTCCTGCCAATAGTCCCAGACACCAGCATCCTTCTCTTTAAGACCCATTAGGCTCCTGGGGCAAGGTCAATATCCATGTCCACCCACACCCTCTGTGTCACGTGATTGTCTGTCTCTCTAATGAGCCAGCTTCTCCACCATTGTCACTGGTGACTTCTCTCCTTTTATGTTCTTCCTCCTTCTCAGGACCCCAGAACCTTAGCATTCAGAGAGCACATTGTCCCTGGAATCCAGACAGGTACTTTCCAAAGCTTTGTGTAGACAACGGATGTTTTACATGTGCAAAAAATACTGAGACTAAAATATGACGATTCTGTGGGGTGTGTGGAGTGCGTCTTTAATCCTGAAAGGTAGAGGCAGGCAGATCTCTGAGTTCCAGGTCAGCCTGGTCTACACAGTGAGTCCAGGTCTATAAATACATAAAGAATCAGTCAGTCAATCTAAGGCTGGTTATGCTGGCTCCCATTTACAGTCTCAGCACTCTTCAGACTGGTCAACATAACAAGTTCCAAGCCAGCTGGAGCTACCAATTGAGATCCTGTCTCAAAAACAAAACAAAAACAAAAACAAAGCTGGGTGGTGGTGGCGGCGCACGCCTTTAATCCCAGCACTCAGGAGGCAGAGGCAGGTGGATCTCTGAGTTTGAGGCCAGCCTGGTCTACAGAGTGAGTTCCAGGACAGTCAGAGCTACACAGAGAAACCCTGTCTGGGAAAACCAAACAAACAAATAAGGAAAACTCCAGGTATCCTCTGTGGAAAGGAGTGTATCAGAGAGTGCTTTAAAGTAGTAGTTTCTTTCAAATAGTTCCAATTTTGTCTGTTTTTCAAGATAGGGTTTCTCTGTATAACAGCCCTGACAGTCCTGGGACTCTCTTTGTAGACCAGACTGGCCTCAAACTCACAGAGATCCACCTGCCTCTGCCTCTGCCTCCCGAGCGCTGGGATTAAAGGTGTGCACCACCACCACCTGTCCCATTTCCAATAGTTTTTGAGCACGGCACAAGATTGGGTTCCTGAAAGAAACAGAAGTTACTCAGAGCCCATCTGACTGGCAGCAAAGCCAGGCATGGCCCTGGGATCCCAGCACGGGAAGGCTAAGGCAGGCGGATGACAGGTTGGAGGCCCCCTGGACTATACAGCAAGACTGGCTCTCTCCCATACACACGACCGACGGAGCCAGGGTCCTATGCAGATGCCCTTGGCCTTTTCAGTGTCCTGTAACGTGGCTGTCTTCTTCCATGATCCCATCCATGACAATGTCAACTGCCTCCATGTCCACTGCCCAACCCTGGAGAGCTGCATCCTGGAGCCGGGGACCAGCGCCATTCTGTACAACATAACAGCAGGTAAGGAAGCCGCCTCGAGAGCCTTTGCAGAAAGTGCTTTGCAACACCAGGCTTTGGTGCTCCCTGTCTGGAGATGCTTTGACCATCCAGAACAGAGTGAGAGACTTCCTTCCTTGTTTGGTACATCTGGCAGAGTCCCTCCCAGATGGCAGACCATGCACAAGTTCTACAGGTGAACTGGGAACTCAGCAAGAGCTAAGGCGGGCACCTCTGCTCAAATGGCCGGGAGTGCTGCTCAGACGCTAAGAAGGAGCTCACAGGCTGCCCGAGGCTGTGGACACTGAAATAGGGCCCTGCAGTGAGGAAGTCAAGGTCCCTACCCTAGGTGGTCACCGACTTGAGAGAGACCCTGTTTCATACAAGAGGTAGACGGCTCTGCGGAACAACGCGTGAGGCCGCCCTCTCGTCTCCACGTGTGCTCCTCCCCACGTCAGCGTGCTCGCACGCACCCACACAGAGACACACGCGCACGCATGCCCACACGCACACGGTACTACTCCAGCACAAAGCCCGTAAGGGGAGGCTGCAGCGAGTGAGAGACCAGGCAGAGGCAGGCAAGGAGCTCCGAGCCGTCAACAGGGCAGTGGGAAACCTGACCTGGCCACGGAGATTCCCAGGAGCACCACCCACTGGGGACTCAGACACCCACACCTCTGCAGGACACTTATCATTCATACACTACACCGTCCTTAGTCTGGGGTCACGCCTGCCCTTCACCGCCCCTCCTGCGCACGCGCGCAGGAGTCCCCACCGTGCTGATGGCACCGAATCCGTGTTTCCACGCCTTTTCCACTCACTCAGCTTGCTTCTCTAGTGTTCCATCGGACAAACCCTGGCTGACCTCTGCTCCTAGCCTTCCCCCACCCCCACCACTTGCCCTGTGGCTAAGCGGGGACCCCGGGTCCCGTGCCCAGCACCACACACACTCCCAACACAGACAGCCTTGCCAGAGGAAGCATATTACCGGGTGCAGAGATCAGACAGCCATGCCTTGCCTCCAGTTTGCTCTCTCTGCTTCATGCTTGCATTTGAAAGATGTGAGCTCTAGATTTCCTGCTCTGGTCGCCATGCATGCTGGGCATGGTCAAAATAAACTCCTGGAAGTCGCTTCTGGCCGTGGCGTTTTCATACAGCACCAGGAAAGCAACTAATGGGTGTAATGGGTGTGTGTGTGTGGGGTCGTCTTTCTTTCTTCTTTTTCTTTCTTTTTTTGGTTATTTGGGGTTTTGTTTGTTTGTTTGTTTTGTATTTTCAATACAGGGTTTCTCTGTGTAGCCCTGGCTGTCCTGGCACTCACTTTGTAGACCAGGCTGTCCTCGAACTCACAGAGGTCCCCCTGCCTCTGCCTCCTGAGTGGCAGAGGGACATGGCCAAAAGCGACTTCCGGAAAGAGTCTATTTTAGCTTGTGTTTCCAGAAGTAAAGAGTGCGTCATGGCTGGCGTGGCCTCCTGAGTGCTGGGATTAAAGGTGGGAGCCACCACCACCATCTTACAATTTTATGACTCCCAGCTCACAACCCACCACCGCCAGGGGAGGTCAGGGCAGAACCTGAGACAGGAACACGCACCAGACTCTTCTGCTTGTCCCGCAGGCTGGAGCTCAGCTAGTGTTTTATACAGCCTGGGCCAGCAGTGGCTGAGCCCTCCTACATCAACCGCCAATCAAACAGCACCCACAGATATGCCCACGCGCCAACTGGATGGAGGCTAATTCCACTGAGGAATTAGCCACCCCGAGAAGTTCCCTCTTCCCAGGAGGCTCTAGTGGACAGCAGCAACTAGCCAAGAAGATGGAGACACAAATCAAAGTCTACAGGGAGGCAGGCAGTCTGGGTAGACTGGCAGGAAGTCTCAAGACGAGGGAGGGGCCCACAGGGCTAAGGGCAACTGACAGGACACAAATGGCCAGGAAGTCAGAAGTAGTCACTATCGCCGAAGCTCACTTTTACAGAACGATGAGGGATGAAACATCACAGAGGCCAAAGTTGGCGGGGAGGAGGCTCAGATAGATAGGGCTCCCTGGCAGAGGAAATGGAAAGCTATACAGACTGCTTTTCCTTCCCCCTGAAGACAAGTGTTGGGGCATTCCTAACAGAGAAGGAGCGAGAAGAGACAAGACCCAAACAGGGAAGGTGTGGCTGCTGGCTTTGTTCCCGATTTCAAAGGGCCCCCTTCCCTGGCTGTTTTGCCAGCTTATTTTAAAGTGGCGTATGGTATTCCCCACGGCTGCTGGCAGAGCGAGAACCCTGGCACCAAGCCTTCTCAGTACGCAAAGCCTTCTCCTCGGTACAGCCATATTTGTCCATAGCAGAGAGTGTCCCAGGACGGTGGGTAAACTTGGCCTGCTCTGAACCTCAGGAGTCTGTGGGGCTGGAACTGGAATTTGGCTCAGCTCAGGGGCCCAGTAAGGTAAAGCCTCCCAGCTTCCAGGCTGTGCCTAAGGTTGTCTCACCGAAACCACACCTAATACACTGTATACACATCTGTGAAATTTTCAAATAAATAAAAATTTTCCTTTTTTTTGAAAATGAGACGATCTCATTTATCTTTCAGGCATAGACCCAGATTTGCTGGTTTTCGAGCATTTATCCCCCGCATACCTAAACACCCGCTCCTCATCTGAATGGTGGGACAGATTCCGGATTCTGAAAGCTCTGAACCTAGGCGACGGAGGGTTACACACAGACATGATAGAGCACACGCTGCCGTCCCCAGAGGCTGCTGTGTCAACCATACATCAAGATCTGGGTGCAAACCTGGGTATCAGTCACCCCGGGGAGCCAACCTCGGATCCGGGTGCAAACGCTGGTATCAGTAATTCCATGCAGTCAAACACGGATCCGGGTGCAAACGCTGGTATCAGTAATTCCATGCAGTCAAACACGGATCTGGAGATGAGATTTATTTCTGTGAATGTGCCCACGGCTGCCACAGTCAACACGGTGTCACCACGCACAGACTTCACCCGTGGTCCAGATAACACGACTATTTCTCCTTTCTTTGGACCCACAGACACAGAAGTTTCTCGGGTGCCCAGCCAGTCCCGACTCAACATTAGCAAACCACTACTGAACAAAACCAAGGGGTCCCACGGCGGCAATCACACGTCTGAGAATGACGCACCTCAGGATGGAGTTCGGGTGACTGCGGGGGCCTGGCTGGCTTCTGTGACCCTGGGTGCTGCCATCGTCTGCCTCTGCTGCTGTGTGGTCATCACCAGGGCATCCAGATACTGCCGAGAGCAGCAGGGCTGGTATGGCCTGGGACAGCGGGGTCAGGGTAACTCTCCGAAAGGGAGTTCCTAAAGGCCTGCCGGAGCCAGGTTACAGGCTGTGGGCGTGTCATCAGCTTTCTGCAAGAAAAAAGCGTTTTCACTAAAAACAAAACAAAATAAAGTTATCTCAGAAAACCGAGTCCTAGCAAACGGTGATTTCCATTTCCTGTACTGAGAGAGCGGGGAGGCGAAGGGAGGGAGGGGAGGAGAGGGATGTGATCCCAGCCCTCTGAAGATGGAGGCAGGATCAGGAGTGAGTTTAAGGCCAGCCTGGCCTATGTGAGACCCTGTCTTTTAAAAATGGGATGGGGGAGGGGAAGGGGAAAGGGGGCGAGAGAAAAGAGAGCACACAGGTTGTCTGACTCCAAAGCTAGTGCTCAGTGGCTGTAACATGATGCTATAACTGGTTGGTTCCAGGTTTGGGAAAAAGAACTCATGCATGGACTTAGCTGTAAACAAGTACTTCCTGCTTCCCAGGGCCAACTGATTAATGCTCCGGTCCCTGGGACCACAGGGCAGAAGGAGAACAAACTCCACACAAGAGTACCGTGGCACATGTGCATGCATGTATGTGCGCGCGTGCACACACACACAATAATAATAAATGCAGAATATCCACCATGATTAAAAATGAAACTTAAAAAATGAGAGAAAAAGGCCGGGCGGTGGTGGCGCACGCCTTTAATCCCAGCACTTGGGAGGCAGAGGCAGGTGGATCTCTGTGAGTTCGAGACCCCAAGTCTGGTCTACCAAGCGAGTTCCAGGACAGGCTCCAAAGCTACAGAGAAACCCTGTGACTAAAAGAACAGTTACGGGGCTGGGGAGATGGCTCAGAGGTTAAGAACACTGACTGCTTTTCCAAAGGTCCCGAGTTCAATTCCCAGCAACCACATGGTGGCTCATAATCATCTATAATGAGACCTGGTGCCCTATTTGGGCCTGCAGGCAGAATATGTCAAATAAATAAATAAATCTTAAAAAAAAAAAAGAACAGTTACTTCAGATGTTAAACAGTTCAGTGGCTTAAAAGATGTTTCTCTTTCCCCAGTGTTGGACACTGGGTGGAAAGTAGCAATGTACGTACGTACGTATGCACATATGTACGTATGTATGTACGTATGTATGTATGTGGGACTGAGAGATGGCACAGCGGGTCAAAGTGTCTGCCTGATCACCAACTCCCAACCTGAGACCCATGGTAGAAGACCCACCTCCTAAAAAGCTGTTGTCTGACTGCCACCCAGCCACTATCAAGCTCCCCTAAACATGTGTACATATGTGTACACTCACATATAATTTACATGTACACATGTATGCACATTCACACACACATTCACAAATAAAAAAAAAAAAACAACTCACCGGGCATAGGAGGTTTATTGGGAGAGGACAGAGAAGGGGCAGAGAGGGGTATGGGGGGAGCAAAGACAGGTCCATGGGGGCAAGAGTGGCAGAAGAGAGAGAGGGGGGGGGGCAAGAGAGAGAAAGAGACGGGAGATGGGTAAGGCCCACCTTTTAAAAGGGAATGCAGTGCGTGTGCAGCCGAGGACGAATCCTGTCAGGACCCAAAGGGCAGGCCAGTACAGATGCCTGAATACTAACAGTAAGAACAGTCAGAGTTAAATTATCATAATCTTTATTCAACCACGCATGAGGTAGCTGGGATTCTTATCCCCAAAAATTGTATTTAAAGAAGTAACTCAAGAAACTCTACAAGATTATTTGAAAAGTCTTTTATTGTATTGTATTGAGACAGGGTTTCTCTGTGTAGCCCTGGCTGTCCTGGAACTCGCTCTGTAGGCGAGGCTGGCCTCGAACTCAGAGATCCTCCTTCGTGCTGGCATTAAAGGCGTGTACCACCTCTGCCCTGCCCCCATTCTTGATGTTTTGAGAGTCTTGATATGACAGAGTATGACCTTGGCCAATCTACCAAGTGCTGAGACTAAGACATGTGTGAGCATGCCCAGTTCCAAATTTACTTTTGCTTCACATGAATTGCTTAGGGATTTTCCAATACAGGAGAGGTACAGAGAGATGTTCCTCCTGGGGTTTCCTACATGGCACTGCTTGAAGAATCTCACAGAAATGACTGTATTTACCTTTGTAAGGAAACAAATACACCCAACTCTCCTTCAGATGGCTTGAGAGGCGATGAAGACCAGACAGGCAAGGGGCAAACACGTGGGCTAAAAATACAGCCCTGACATCCACAGTGACGAGCCTGAACCCTCAGGTCAAACTGACCTGGTCAAACAGTTAAGACGAGTGCCTCCAAGGCTGTCCTCACTTCTGACCCAAACGCAGGTTTTGGTGTTTACAAAACCACCCCTAGGCTGGGAACTTTAGAACTCGGCGCTCAGCCAGTTATCCTTCGGGTTAAGGACACAGGTTAACACAGTCCGGAAGAGGAAGGGCTGAGTCCAGGAAGCTCTGTGCTGAGGCTCAAAGGGTCCCTATTTGCAGTCAGGCCACACCTCTCTCCTGGGGTGATACTGTTTATGATCTAACAAATAAAGCTTGTCTGATATTTGTCTGAAGATCAGAGTTCTAAGCCAGCCACACTAGTTAGCCATAGAGGCCAGGCAGTGGTGGCCACACCTTTAATCCCAGCACTTGGGAGACAGAGGCAGATGGATCTCTGTGAGTTCAAGGCCACCCTGGGCTACATGAGATTGAATCACTCTAGAAGAGAAACAGAGCTCACACAAAGGTGATCCCAGCACTTGGAATCATATACCTTTAATCCCAGCACTAAGGAGGTGGAGACAGGAAGTGATATGGCTGGTTGGAGAGGAGGCAGCAGCTCAAGCCAGTCAGTCTGAGGATTTGCAGAGAGGGATGCAGTCTGAGGACAGGACCGTCCCTTTGGTCTGAGCGTTGGTAGGGGTGAGAACTCCCTAGTGGTGGCTGCTTTGCTTCTCTGATCTTCAGCTCCGACATCTGACTCTGAGTTTTACTATTAAGAACAATTAGAATTTGTGCTCTCTCTCCTAATGTCACTGTGTGACAGCTGCACAGAGAGCCCAATCAATGTCCAAAGAGTTGTTGTTGCTGTTTTCTATCGTCCCCTCCCCCCTCGAGACAGGATCTCCTGTAGCCCATGCTGGCCTTGGCTTTGCACACGCCAGGATTATAGCTGCAGTCTACCATACCTGTCTATCCAAAGACTTTGCTTCTGCCGCTAAGTGACATTTACAAGGTTGGAGCAGGTGAGCAGCAAGTCTGCCGAGCTGCTGTCCACAGCCGAGTGCAGCCCTCCGTGAGGCTGGCCACTGAGGGCTTGCTCAGGTGCTGGGCCGGGCTTCCTCAGTAACCAAAATCACTGATCGAAAGCAAACACCCAAAGTGGAGACATGGCAGCTAACAACTCTGTTCACATAAGTAGAGGACTAGAGGTGTTGTGTGAAGACACCTGAGAACCAGGGAAACCACCACAGCCGGCCAGGAGGTGCCACCGCCCCTGGGGTAAACCAGAAAGCCCCAAAAGCACACTTCGGTGCACAGGAGTCTGGTAAGTGACATAAGACAATATTCTTAAATATTTTCCATTTATATAAAATCAGTGACCAAGTACACGATAAACCTGATACAGCCTAGTTTAGACTGCACTCCAGATTTAACAGTCTCTTCACGGATTCTTTGTACTGAGCAAGGCTCTCCTCGTTCTCGCCCTCATTCTTGAGTCGAACAACACACTTCTGGTAGTCTTCAACCTCCTTAGTCCCCAGCAGCTCCTCCCTGCTCGGTGCTCCACTGCTGTCGGCCGCTCTTATCTGCAGCAGGGTCTGGAGAACGTTCTTCTCCGAGGAGCTATTTTCCCACACATACTCTTCCATGTCTGCCTCAGTCTTATTTTTTTCCCATTCTTCAGTTTTCTGAAAGAAAAGGAAAAGTTCAGCGTGGGATAAGTAAGTCCCGATGGGCCTGGCAGCTGGCCCAGAGCAGACGCAATGGGTTCTCCTGACAGCCTGGGTCTGCCAGAGGCCTTGACAACAGCAGAGCAGAGATGATGAGGACCTGAGGACAGTGATGACATCACCTCAGCAGGTGCCAGCTCAGCGGCTCTCCTCCCCTGGGGCAGGGCTGAGGGGCACATAAGGCTCACCCCGTCCTGGAATAAACTGAGTTTGTCGTTTCAGCCTGTTCCCGGTGCCTGTGTCGTTGGTGTCCTGCCTACTTTCCCCCACCCCCAAGGGACGCCCGTGGGATCCTGCAACAGTTCAGAACTCAGGGAGACGTTATCAAAAGACAAAGTTCCTTTGCTAGCTGTTTTCTGGGGGAAGAGAAGGCAATAGTTCAAGGTCCCCGCCTACACTACACACTGACAGCCCTGCGTGGCGCTGTCGCCCATGGCCAGCCTCAGGAAGGGCTGCAGTCTTCCATGGACAGTGCCGCACAAACCTCACTTATCAGAAAGCTCTCTCGCAGGCGGCTATTCTAGGTTACCAGAGGTGTCCCTTAGGTAAGCCTCTGCTCTCGTGCTGCCCTGGAACACAGAGGGTGGGGAAGGTCTGCTGGACCTAAACCACATCAACATTTAAACTGGGCACGATGTGCTGCCGAGTCTGGCCTCAAACTCCCCGTGAAGCTGCGACGGCCTTGATCTTCTGATCTTGCTTCTGCCTCCCACGTGTTTGAAGCCACACCCACTGACCTCACACTTCTAAAGTTTAAAATAATGAATTGATACAGGTATTAACTTTCTAAAAGCACCATGACAGTTAAACAGGGAAGTGGGAACACATCAGGACACAGAGTTTTCATTTTGATTGCTAGAGGGGATCAGAAGTGGGGGACACAGATGGATACACAGTTTTTGCTTTGTTGTCATGACAGCTTCATAGCCTCCAAAACTGTTCTGCTGTTATTTTTATTTTCTGTTCTTGTGTTATTAGTACCGGTTATTCTGTTGCCATGTCACCTCAGGCATACTGCAGTGCACGTGGAAAGGCTGCTTATAAACAGCAAGAAGTCACAGTAGGCCAGGTATGGTTGTGCACACAGTAGGCCAGGTGTGATTGTACACAGAGTAGGCCAGGTGTGGTTGTACACAGAATAGGCCAGGTGTGGTTGTACACAGAGTAGGCCAGGTGTGGTTGTGCACACCTTTAAGCCCCATGCTCAGGAGGTAAGTGAGCTAGGCCAGCCAAGGCTACGTAGTTTGACCACATCTAAAAATAACAACGGAAGCTACTCCACCACCCTCCAGACTTTGTCAAAGATACAGAGGCAGGAATATTTTTCACGAAGCACATCACTGGAATATTCACAAATACAAAATCTTACAAAAGATTTTTATTTATTTATTTTTAAAGCAAATTTCACTGTCTCTTCCTTCCTTGGCCTTTTTCTCTGGCCTTGAACTTGCAACCTTCTATCAGGTACCCCAGTGCTGTGATGTGAGTGTGTGACGGCCCACTAGCTACAAGCTCTACTGTAAAACAAGACACAGCAGGTCACAGCACATGGAACAGAAGAAAACCAGGTGCACAGTCCCAGCCCAGCAGCTACCCTGCAGATTACAGACTCCACAAGGACTACATGAATGTGAACTCCTGGCTGCAAGAGTGTGGGGGGGGTCTGTCTGAAAAGTCATGGCCACTTTCTTCCTTGGAACATTTTCTGATTCTGCATATTAAGAATGGAGTCCGCTTTATTGAACGGGACTGACGCTGAGGTACGAGCCAGGGCTTGCAAGCCAGACCAGAAACTGGGAAGCTACATAAAGAATTGGCTTTAGTTCTTGGATGCTTACAGGAAGCTGCAAGCCAGACTAGGCTTGTAACAAGCACAGTGAAATCTATAATTTATAGTGCTGAGGAGACCACCCTTTCCTGGCCTGCTGGGTCAGGAAGCAGTAAGGAAGGGGTTGGCCTTCACCAACCCCTACCTCAGACTTCTGAGGAACAAACAGCCACCCTCCCCACATGAGAAGTCACTCACCCCAGCCTGGAATGCTATGATGAGGACAAGGGACAGACACCTGCAGCCCAGCCGAGACCACCTCCATCAGGGTGAGTATGACACGCCTGAGATGCTGCCTGCTCAGGGAGACAAGGGAATCCCTGATGGACGCCGTCACTGTCGCTACGGGCTGATGGGAAACATCCTCACCTGCTCAGAAACCCATGGATTGTGAGGAGAAGGCCAAGGCCAGCCTGGGCTCACAGACAGATCTTAACACAAAACAATGAAAGGTTGGTAAAGTGATGGGGAAGTCCTGTGTATATGTCAATAAAGCAGTGATGGCCAATAGGGAAGCAAGATAGGTGGGACTAGGAGTCCAGGAGGACTCTGGGAAAGAGAAACACTGGGAGTCACGATGTAGCTGCCATAGGGGTAAGAAGTTTGGAACTTTTCTCCGCTAAGAGAAATACTTAGAATAACAATTATGGGGTAAATACTTAAGTCAGAGATAGCCATTAAGAAACAAGCAAGGCCAACAGCTTCATAATTAATATAGCATCTTGTGTGTTATTTGGGGACTACAATGCGGCAGAGCCCAGGCGACTGGTGGGGAAAAAACAAAGCGGCTGGCAAGGAAAAGGCTTCTCTCTATAGTAAAGGACACACACAGCTCTTCTAGAGGACCTCAAGTTTGGTTCTCAGCACCCACACGAAGGAGCTCACAAGTACCTGAAACTCAGCTCTAGGAACACAACACCTTCCTCTGAAGACTCTGCATTTATGTGTACACACCCATACACTCAGACACACCCATACAAAAGAAAGATAAACCTTTAAAAAATTTAAGATGACAGTATTTAGTATACAATAAACAAAGATACAAATAGAAGGAAAATGAAGTTAACCATAGGACAAGCACAGGATGACCTCAAATTCATGGCAATCCACTGGCTAAGTCTCCCAAGTGCAGCATTACAGACTCGGCTGGGACACTCAACTCACACTCATTCTGAAGGAAATTCCAGGTATTACTTCACTGGCAGTAGGCTCAGTATTTTTCTTAAAACAACATCGATGCACCATCAGGCAATGTGTTGTGTGCAGATCCTGGCTCACAGCCGGGACCCTCCTGCCTGTGTGGCCACAGTGGTAGAAGTCAGGCTGAAGCAGCACACAGACTCTGGAGCGTACGCTAGCAGATGGGGCTTCACAATTTTATTTCCCCTCTTTCCTGCTGCTACGCAGCCCCTGGCTGGCTAGTCCTGTCAACTCTACAACAGTCAAGGCCACGCTGTCCACCTGGTAAGCTGAGAGGAAGTCAGTCCAGAAAGACGCTGAGCACAGCTGCCCCCAGGAGCACTGCTGCAGGCTCTGCTCTGTCCACTCTAATGTCCTGGGCATCCTCATCTCTGTCTTGCCTGCTTGCTGCTGCCATGACTCTCAACAACCTTTAACACCTTGAAGGACAGGAAGAAGGAAGAAAAGGAAGAAAGGACAGAACCTGAGCAACAACCCACCTGATCCACGCAGCCTGAGATGGGAGCAGACACGTACAACAAGCTCCGCCCTACACATTGCCAGCACCTTCCCAAAATAACAATCCTGAAGCAATGACCTGTGGATCATAAATGATCACTGTCCCACCCACCAATGCCTTTAGAAAAAGGAGCTAAGGCCAGGGGCTGGGGAGACAGTTCAGTGGCTAAGAGTGTTTGCAAGCAAAAGAGCTCGAGTTCAAATTCCCAGCACCATGTAAAAGCATGGCTCCTCAAGCTTTACCCCAAGTATTTGGGGACAGAGACAGGAGGATCCAAGAGCTCACCAGACAGTCAGCCTGTCTAAATAGCAAGCTTTCTGTTCAGTGAGAATCCAAGTTTCATGGAAGCAAGGTGGAGAATAATGGACCAGACCACCAATGTCTTCCTCTGGCTCTGTGAATGGATGGGTGTGTATGCCTGTAGGCACACATATGTATACGCAGGGCTCAAAGGACAGCAATCCAGAGGTGACCTCTGACATAGCATCAGTGGTTGTAACTCATGCACATTCTCACAGACCAGACGGGAAGAAGCTACCAAAAAGGAAACAGGAGAGAATCAGCTGTTAACTCCACTGGAGAGATGGCACAGGGTTATGAGCTTGCTGAGTTCAACCGCCAGCCTCCATCAGCTAACTGCAAGCCACCGTAACCCAGGGGATGCAATTCCTCCTCCTGGTCTGTGTGGACACCGGCACTCATGCATGCACATGCCCCTCAAAGCAAGCAAACAAAACACAACACCATGAAGCTAGGTGTGACGCCAAAGGTCTACAATCCAGCAACGCAGAGGTTTGTGTTCAAGTCTAGACTGGCCACTGAAACAATCCACCAAGACTGCTACAGCCCCGCGCCTGCACTGCAGTCGTCAGCTGATTTCAAGTACAGGTAGCACATTCATGTGAATCCCACACTACATCTTATCAACCATATCACAAAATCCCACACCACACCACACCGTACCACCCATATAACTCTCACGGTACACCATATCATATTAAATCCCACACCACCTGAGTTTGGTTCCCAGGATGCACATGGCAGTTTATAATGCTCTGTAATTCCTGTTCTAGGGGATCTGATGCCCTCTTCTGACTTCCATTGACAACACCACGCATGCTTGCGGGGCACATACACACATGCAGGCAGAACACTCATGCACATAAAATTTTTAAAAAATGACCATTTAGGCAGAGTTGGGGTACTTTATAGACACTTATTTTAATACCTCAACATCTGCAATGTAACACACACACACACACACACACACACACACACACACACCCTCTCCTTCTCTCCTTGCCCAACTACAACCTCGGAAGCAGCAACTTTCCACTCCATGTGACCCTGTTCCCCTTCCCAGTCAGCTCCATCATCCATTTATTCATCCAGTCAATGAATTTTATGAACCAACAAACTGCTGCACTAGAC